TCCCGTAGTTGCGCGTTCGTTCGACCGCTCTTGTTCGCAAGAGATGCGTCTATGCTTCGTCTTGATTCATGTGCGTTGGTCCACGGGCGATGCTTTACGGGGGACAAGAAAACATCGGCTTTTCTGATTCATCTTGCGAGATTCTGTTGAACACCTTGCTCACTGTTACGCTTTAGGTTGACTATAACTTCGGACTTTTATGTACTTCTATACGAGACATGTTTGTTGTGCCAGTGAAATATATTATGTCTTGCATATGACTGACTATCGCGGGGCGTGTTCTATAATATGTAGTACAAGTTACACATAAAATTACAAAATATAAGTTCTATTCAAAGGAGTCGAGTCGTCCATATCTGCGAACAGCCAATTGAGAACAGCTGCAAGCCTAATACCACCTTGAGACATCAACTTCTCAACGATCCATGCATCCTCGATTGCCCCGGAATACTCGGGCGTGTCGAGTTCGAGGTATGGATTCTTCCTCGGCCTAGAAAGCCAGTGGACTTCAAGACTTTGATTGGATGTGTGGCAGGCATGATCATCGGTACTTCCAGAGAAGGAAACACGGTTGTATGGCGGTTCATCTAATGCCTTCGGGAACACGATCTGGCAGTTCAGAGCGTGAATGGGAGTTGCCCAATGGTACGGACACAAGGTTTCATCGTCGGTGTTCAACCCCCCGTCTGTAAGATGCGACCCCACAATCCAAGACCCTATGCGACGCCCAAAAGTCCAAGATAGCCATTGTTCCCAGTGAGTTTGCAGGGGTTGGACGGAGAGTTCGGCGGGACACGTAAGCCACGAGTCGAGCTCGTCCTCGTACTTGCCCGTGATGCCTTCCCAGACAACACGACGGATATAAGGGTCGTAGATGGTGCCCCGAAGCTGACTCTCGACGTCGGGAAGTGGCAGAGGGCGAGTATAATTGGAGGGTATTGTGCGAATTCTTTTGGCTATGAGTAGGCCGTCCCACAGGGAGTGAAGGTCTATCGCAGATGATAAGAACAAGGAAAGATAAGAGCGGGAACAACTGACTTGTTACACGACTGTCGAATGAGACTTTGATTCCGTTCCCTCCTCGGTCACGTCCTGTGAGGTGCAATGGCATGTGCATATCCCCAACGAAGTGAATGAGAAACTTGAGTGCAACCTGCGCTGCATCTTCATCGCTCTCAGTGGTCAAACCTGCTTTGCGCAGGCTCATGTAACTCTCCAGGGTATTTGTGGTGTTCCTTATGCCGCTAAGCACATTGATATTCCTTCTACCCTCCCAGCCTCTCTCTCCTGGGAAAGCGCAAGTCTCACTAGGATAGTCATCCGTTGCGCCGATGTAGTGCAGGGGGCCTGTCCACCTGTACTGTGGCAAACCACGGATCCTATCTGCCCAGGCAGCGACCGGAGCGAGATGGCAGTTCCCTTTATAATTCAAGATGTCACACAGGATGGGCATGACCGAAGGATGCAGATGCATCTGAGCGACGGTCGCGATGATTTCATGACCTATGAAACAATTAGACTCTTCAGACACGACATACCGCCATACGCACCTACTGCTCCCCATGCACTGACGGATGGTATAATAGCGGATCCTGCGGCAAGAATGAGCGATACCCGTGAAAAGCGCATGGTGGGGGTGTAAGAGTAAATCGATACCGGATGTGACACTTCTTATATCCAGAAATGCCGCAGAGCGCGCAGTCAGAGGGGGACTGAATGAGGCTTCCACAGATAAGGTGACAGTTTTAGTAATAATAGTCAGGGTGCGGTGAAAGACAAGAGGTCCGAGGATAAGGGAACAATACGGAAACATACAATAATAGTCTGCGACACAGCCACATGAGGCTATAGCAACTCGAACCTTATCATATAGAACTCATTTGATCTCATCACAATTGAAAATGTTCAAATTCAACTTCGACGTGGAGGACGATACTGAACAAAGTACAGATGTAAATCACACAACACAAAATCATGGGCCCGCTTCTGTGCAGGCGGTCGCCCCAGACGTATTCACAGAGCTTTTTCTCACAGACGCGGTACGTCTAATTGCTTATCTTGGTTCTGTAAAAACTGATATGGGCGCAAGTATTAGTTAAACAGCCTACCGTCCAAAATATCCTACTCTCCAATCACGATCCCACTTGCCAGCGGAACCGAACTTTCACTCCCACGCCGTGATCTGTTCGATGCGAGGTTTCAATTGATCTCACAAAATGTCGATGACCCGGATGCATTGGAGCAGCCGTCTATCAATGCACGGTCTGCGCTGCACTTTCTGGATGCACCCTCTGACCTTGTACCTCTTGTCTACGAGGGCGGCTTGAAGACATGGGAATGCAGTATTGATCTTGCCAGCTATCTGGATGGTATAAGCTCACAGTTTGATGTAAGCGGCAAGCGTGTGCTAGAGGTGAGCATCCATTTCTCTGTACCCTGATGATATGATGCAGCTCATTAATCTTTTCACAGATCGGATGTGGCACTTCAATACCGTCACTGTACATTCTTCATCGAATATTCTCCTCCCCACCTTCTCAGAATCAGACACATATCCACCTCCAGGACTATAACGCCTCCGTGTTGGAATTGGTGACTATCCCCAATATTATTCTGACCTGGTGTTCGTAAATTTGGATGTTTTCTTTCTTCGCGTCTCACTCGAGATACAGATCTGTCAGAGGCAGCAGAGACATACCGCAAATCAGAGGAGCAGGCAGACTCTCCTTTGGAGTTGGATATATCGGAAAGTCTCAGAGATGCATTCCATCAATCCTTGATGACCTACGGCATTAATTTACGTTTTTTCTCCGGCTCATGGGATACATTCGACCTCCAAAAATCATGTGGGAGCTACAACCTGGTACTGACATCCGAGACCATATACCGCATGGAATCTCTTCCGAGCCTTACTGCTATTATGCGCGGTGCTTGCAAGGCTGAAGGCCCCAAAGGTGTGAACGATTACCTCTGTCTTGTAGCCGCAAAAGTGCTCTACTTTGGTGTGGGTGGCGGAGTAACAGAATTTGTGCGATGTGTACAAGGTTCGGATGAAGGAGGCACGGTTAAGACTGTATGGGAGAAAACACAAGGCGTCGAAAGGAGGGTAATGAGTATCAGATGGAATTGACGATGTTATTTGATCCTTACCCAAGAAATGAAACGAAGCATGATTGTGTCGATGATGATAATATGACTGGGACGACCAAGAACAACGAAACTCGATATAATTGTGATAAGCAAAAAATGTGGACAAATCCGGACTCGAACCGGAGACCCCCCGCAGTCGACGCCATGCTAAGCGGATGTGATAACCAGCTACACCATATGCCCGACGAACTTTGTTCGATCGTGGATACCTATTACCTATTACAGTGACCTAGATCTACATCAAACAAAAGCCACGCATTATTACATTTTACATTCTAACTAGTACTAGTACTGTCACTGACAATTCAAAAACTTCATTCTATCAGAACCTGACTATTGCTAGAGACCTATTCTACGTTCTTTATTGTTGCGTGCAAAGGCCTATATCACCCCCCTTCCAAGATGGTGTTCAAAATAGCTGGCTGAGTGTTCAGCTTCGAGCAAGTGCGCACATGGTTAGAGAAGCAAGGACAGCAACATCAGCAGGTTGGATCGTGCTACAGAATGCTACAGAGCGCTCTGTAGCACTCTGTAATCATCATATGTAATGAATTACGTTTCCCTGATGAACATCGGCACTTGCCGGACGAGTTTGATGCCACCGATTCCCAACTATTGGTTCAAAGAGAGAAATATTGATTATCTGTGGGCCGTCGGTATCGATTATCCTCGAGGGAGCTTGAAGTTGCAGCCGGTCATCGTATTGGTTCAAAGGAGCAGAGAAGATCCCGAGTCGACGGTATTTCGTTTCTATCGTGTCAAGGAGTTGCATCAGTGAACCCGTGAGGAAAGTAGATAGCAATAAATAACAATATATAGTACATAATCGCAAGAACTGATGGGGCTCGGATAATAATGCTAGAAAACACTGGAAGGCCGCCCGCCACATGGATGGGTAGCAACCGGTTCATCAAAAACTTCTCTCCTTGAACCCTCAGAGTCAAAGATTGGCTGTCCAACAATGATGCTCTCTGCTCGATGAATAGTGCCCAACAATTCTGAGAAACATATGAAGATCAACACCCACTGACGCGAACAGATGGACAACCGGGTCTAAGTGCTGAGTTCCAGGTGGGGCTCGAAGAGCAATTTTGAAAAACATAAGAAGGCCATCCGGCCGCCCACAACTGATGAACAGGTAGACAACAGGCACATCAGAATCCCTCCGCTGGAACCCTCGAGGCAAATATTGGTAGTCCGCCAACAAGGCCCTCTGCTCGAAGAGGAAAAATTAGAATCAGAAAATATACGAAAGTTCAACACTCACTGATCGGCGACCAGGAGGTATCACGAGTCTGAGTACCCGAGTTCGAAGAACACTGCTGGAAAACATTGGAAGGCCATCTAGGCGTTCGCCGCTGATGGAGAGGTAGACCGTCATCGATGTGTGACTTCCTCTTACTCGAACCCCCAAATCTAAGCAGTGCCTGAAAATTCGAATTAGAAATCGTGCGAAGTTCAACACCAACTGATGGGGCCGAACAGGTGGACAACTGGGTCTGAATACCGAGCCCCCGATGGGGCTCGAAGAGCAATTCCCATCACTAGTGGACGATAGACAGATATCTGGCATCAGGATTCCTCAGATCGAACCCTAAGGGTAAATATTGGCAGTCCGCCAACAACGCCCTTTGGTCGAACAGCACAAGTTGCCTGAATCAGAAAACATACCAAAATACAATATCCACTGATACCCAGGTGGACAACTGGATCTGAGTCCCCTATGGGTTTGAAGAACAATGCTGAAAAAAACGGAAGGTTGCCCAGTGGACAGGTGGACAATTGGCCATCCTTTTCCTTGAACCCCCAAAGTCAAGATCGATCGTCCACAGGTACCCACAATTACGTTGTTTGCACGTGACCTTCTTGGTTGGACTTAGAGGCTCGAGCTTCGCAGTATGCCACCAACAGCTTCGACTTGAAAGCCCCAACTTATCTTGAAAATCCTCTCATTTGACCAACTGTAGTACGTTCACGCCGTCCCTTTCTATTTGAGCATCAGATGTTAACGTCTCTCCCACTAGTCACTATGGTGTTCAAAATAGCCGGCTGGATAATCAGCTTCGAGCAAGCACGCACTTGGTTCGACAGGCAGGAATACAAACACGACCATTTCGGCGATGAGTTCGTCGGTATCGCGCTTAATCGGTGGTTCGAAGAGAGGAACATCGATTATCTATGGGCTGTTGTCACCGACTACCCTCGAGGGAGCCGGCACGCAGTCATCGTCTTAGTTCGAAGGCGCAGGGAAGATCCCAAGTCGACGGTGTCCCACTACTATCGTGTCAGAGAGTTGGATGCAGACCGTGAAGTGAAGAAGCAGGTGATGGAGGAGACTGGACTGAGTGATGAAGATCTACCTTGGGTCACTGTTGTGGATCCGTTCTTCATGAATTAACTGAGTCTCGACGCGAATGAAATTGTAGCAGAAGGATTGTTTGTTTGTTGTTTTATATATGTGAAGTTGAGGAGATCTCTGAAAAATGTTGGCCGCTTCGGGCCAAAGTACGGGCCAAAATCTGGCCCATCGATATCTCTAAGCGGAGTACGGTATCCGTCACTGTGTCTCACGTTTGCAACAGTGCCAAAGATTTACTTGCCATGGACATCGAGTGCCTTGTTCTGCCATGTAGCAACACAGCGAGCCTGCTGCTACGCTATATATTGATCTCGGCCTGTCCTTGCGATAGGCTAGCCTCCTGACAGGTACGAAAGAGCATGGGCAGCCAGCGGGGTGTGCAGAGTTGATGCGGAGCATGAACATGGGGCATTCCAATAATATTCGCGGGATGTTGTTAGGTGGCATGGATCAAGCGGGGTTCAAGCTCCGCTGGAAGCTGCTGTCTTCGGACTTTGACCGGCCAAATTTCCGACATTCTGGTGAAGCCTCATGGGTTTGGTTGAATAGGTCGCGTCGTGAGTTGCCACCTACTAACGTCACAGTCTAAACCAAAAGTCCCCCAACTCTTATATTTCCTTTCTGACAAGCCGTACGTTCATGCGGTACTCTATTGTGCACGTATGGGTTTACGACATTTCCCCCTTCAGGATGGTGTTCAAAATAGCCGGCTGGGTGTTCAGCTTCGAGCAAGCGCGTGCATGGTTAAAGAAGCAAGACCACCCATACCAGCATGCGCCAGACGAGTTCCTTGCTACCGAGCTCAATTTCTGGTTCAGAGAGAGAAAAATCGATTATCTGTGGGCCGTCGGTACCGACTATCCTCGAGGGAGCATGCAGCCGGTCATCGTATTGGCCCGAAGGCGCAGAGAAGATCCCAAGTCGACGGTATCCCGTTTCTATCGCGTCAGGGAGTTGGATGAGGATCGTGAAGTGAAGAAGCAGGTGTTAGAAGAGAGTGGACTGAATGATGAAGATTTGCCTTGGGTCACTGTTGCGGATCCATTTTTTGAATACTGATTGTTGTCGCTTAAATCAAAATGGCAGAGTACCCGCTCGGTTGGAAGCGACCACCGGATTAGACGCTCACACGAAATGACCCCCGGCATCGCGGCACACTTCCTACTTAATTGGTCATTTTCAATAAACGCATTGTGCGCCTGCGGCCTCAGGCCCTCAGTGCATACACGCGTCCTCGACTCTTGTCTCCACAGCTACTACAGAATGCATCCCATCGCATCAACTCAACAGTTGGTGCTTTCTAGCGCTCGAGTTTGACCATCTATCTTGCATAATATCGTTGTTTTTCATGACAAGCAGTACACCAACACACCACCATGTCAGTCCTTCGAACGCATGCATATAGCTTACTACAATATTACCCTTCCATCGAGCCTCCTCCCAAGACCTTCTTATGCACCAGGTGCAGCCGAAGTTCTCCCTTCTGGCGTCTCAAACTCGTCAGCAATTCTATTGCGGAGGAGCACCTTACTTTGAGCTTCTGCTCCTAGTCTCCCGGTCCACTGGTCTAAGTTCTCTCCTTCCCCAACCCCCTCCCAAGTACATGAATCCTATGCCACACAAATACCGGTGTAACATGGTTGCTAGCCTCGGCGAGCCCTCATCGCAGATGCTACGCGAGCCCTGCGTTCAAAGGATTGTCATCGTGGATGGTTGTGAGTGCCATCTACCATGGGATCAATAGTGCAGAGAGACCAAGTAAGGTTCACACCAGTTCTTTTACCAAAATTCTCATCCCAATTATCATGTGCCAGGCGCTGCATAATTGATTTTGATCGAGTCATAATTATTCTTGAATGTCTTGTGCTATCTCCAGAATTAGTGCATCCCGAAACGACGGATGGTCTGATTGTAGCGCGACGATGCCCACCTCAAAGCTATTTAGCAGTACACCCGCATACACATCTCTGTCTACGGCTCTGTTCTGCACAATTCTTGCAAGCTCCGGAAGCATCTCGGTCGAGGGTAATTTGTCGATATCATGGCTCTCTTGGAATTGCGCATGTATATGGTGTTCGTAAGCAACTTCATTTTTCTATGGTTGCAACATTCCAGGTCATCGAGTCACTCGCTTGAAGTAATCGAATTTTGGAACAATTCGTCTGTGCAAACCCCACACAAAGAAGTATCAGCACACTCATACACACCACATATAGGAGTGTATTAAGGAATGTCGACATTAACAGCACCTGCACATTTGGGGGCGAGTTATACGGTGCCGAACAGGATACAGTACCCATCGGGTAGTGTGTCAAAACGTGCGACAACAAATGAGCGGAAACGGTTGCTGGTGTAGGCAATGAATCCATGTTGGGAGCGATTGTAAGGTACCTCCGGTTTCGCGGAGTCAGATTCAGGTGGATGAACCTTGACTCGGATGCTCAGAAGGCCTAGGAAGATAGTCGTTGTCCTGAGGAACATTGTTATTTTAAGATATACTGTAGTCGTGTTGCACTGGAATGAGTTGGCACGTGGGTCCGTCCATCAACATCTCAATCACGATATCATGATTTTAATGACTTGATGAAACTTTCCATCTGAAGCGTGGAGGCACAGCCACAGGCGTTGTTTGGTAACAGCCTTAGGAACAAATATGGCGCGTCTTCAAAGCTTCAACGTTGCAACATCGTCCTTGATATTGCGCAGGTGGCAGGCACGCCAATTGACAGCATAACCTACTTTGAATAGACGTCGATCATCATGGCGGACGCAACGGCGTCCTTCAAAGACGTCCCAGAGTTGTTCGAGGTTGGCATAATTCTCATAGCTGCGTACCAATGTCAGGCTTACTCTGTTTCAGGTTGAACTTGGAGAAGCTTTAACAGCAAGGACCGAAAGCCTTTGTTAGTCAAGCATGTTCTTGTCTTACTTATTGAAACATTGACAATGTATTATAGCAACATTCCGTGAACTTGGCCCCCCAGACCTCTGTCATATTGTGAAGAGTACAGGACGTACTGGACAACGCGATGTGAGTTCCAACATCTAGGATCTGCGGCGCATATGTTGATTATTAGTTAGATTGGCTCATATCATTTTGTGTCTGGAGTGGATGCGTCCTCTTCAGCATCCCTCGCCGCGTACATCAATTCTCTCACATACTCTATCGAGGACAACTCTGCTTGGTTTTCGAAGAGTACAGCATGGAAAGTTAGGAATGGCTGTTATTGGTTTGTTTTCATGACCTGTACACTCCTATATATGCTGAACACTTTGTTAAAGTTGTTTTAACGCGTTTTCTCGCGTCGATATCCGTGTAGATGTGAAGATCCCTGGAGGTGTCGTTGCCTATGTCGTAGACCTTCGTGGAGAGCGGTGCGTATTCTATCATAGCACGTATCGAGTCATTGATTGTGTTTGTGGACTCTAGACACGAAGCGACTCCAGAAATATGGCAAGAAACATACCTCTCTGCGCTGCTTCGGGCTATCCTCTACTCCGACGACCCGACTTACTGGCTGGAAGCTTACCGCAAGCTCGATCCTATCACTACAATCGAAGGCGAACTCCGATTTCTACAGGCAGCTGAGGCCTTGTTTATGAAGGGCGAGTGCTTCACCTTTGGCCTTGCTTGTTGCTTGTTCAAGAAACTGATCGCAATGTAGGATGGCAGGTCGGGTCAGATCCTGAGATACAGGTTGCTACTGTGGTTTCTAACCACTTGACTGCTGGTGTAATGAAGTACTTCAGCAGCAGTGGCCGCTGTCAGCCAGCAGCTAATTTATTCGAGAAACTAGCTGCACGAGAGCCGGAAATTGCCTCGCTCCTGGCAAGAAGTTACATTGGAATGAGTGCGCTTGTTTCTCCCTCTTTCCAAGAGACCGTCCCGCCTGACATATTTTATGACAAGATGAGGAAGTTAAGGCAGTCCAGATCATGTCTGCTGCCATGAAGCATACTCCACACTCTTATACCCTTCTCCACGTACAAAGTGATTTCCTTCGTTCTAAGGGCAGGTCGGACTGGGCATTGAAACTCGCGAAAGAGGCTGTTAACTGTGCACCGAGTGAATTTGTTACTTGGGAGAAGCTCACCGAGCTATACATCGATACAAAAGACTATGAATCGGTATGCAACTTTCTTGAGTGCGGTCAATTTCACTGACCGCCACCACAGGCGCTTTTAACGCTGAACTCATGTCCAATGTTCACTTTCAATGGACGTGATGCTCACCGTGCTCTTGTACCTGCAAAGGTCCACTTGCCATTCCAGCGCCAGATCGGCGACATCCTCCCTGAAAAAACGAAAAGTGAAGATGATGTGGTTCGTGAAATTATTATATTGACATTCCCATCTCATGTCTCTTCAGGCTGATCCTGCCCTCCTTCGCCTTCCTGCACCGGGTCTTCGTGGAACGTGGGCGAGGGCCTATTCCTTGCTCACACGTCTTGTCTCTGATATAGGCTGGGACGAATTGCTGAAGACGCGGAGTGTAGTGTTTGTTATGGAAGAAGAGTATCGGATGCAAAAGGCCCAGGCAGACATCCAAAAAGTGGCGACCAGCCACAGTGCACAAGATGTGAATGAAAATGCCGCAGTGATCCACGAGGATGGCTCTGTGACCGCAGGGAATGCAACTCTCGCAGACGATGACGCGTCTACACGAGGGATGTCAAGCCCCCTCTCGGAATCGGAGAGCAAGCCTGAATTTGAGAATGGGCTGAATGTTTCCGCCATCCCGATTATCCGCGTGTCCTCAGAATCTGACACGGAACGCGAGATTGCAGAGTCCACTCGCAATGGCATTGCGGAACAGGACGAGCAAAGCATGACACTCGAGAAGCCAGTGCAAGCTGCTGCCGGGGAGGAGCCTGAGCCATCGCAGGTGTCAAACTCCTATCAGGAGGCGTTCTCATTCACAAACAAGCGCCTGTGTGAGCGGTGGCTAGATAATCTGTTTATGGTCCTTTACGAGGTAAGAATCACTCCACAATGGGCAACTTGTTCCTTGAATACAACATATCTTCCCAGGATTTGCGAGTGTGGACTATCTTTCGAGCAGAAGTCGCACATTTCAAAACGCAGCACGTTGCGTACCGGAAAACTGGCATCGAATGGGAGATCCTCGGAGACCTAGGCATGCGCTTACACCACAAAGAGGAGGCTAAAGAGGCTTATCAGCGATGCCTGGATACTTCGCGTTACTCCCAAAAACCATGGGCGAAGCTATTAGAAATGTATGCCGACGAAGGAGACATCACACGCACAATCCAGGCTGCGATACGAGTGGCAGCATACCAGTATGCTGATTACACAGAGATGACCGTATGTGATGTCCCTTTTGCATAGGGAGATAGCTCACCTTGTTCACAGTATCCAACGCTGATTGCGCGGTGCTTCTTCAAGTTGGGCCAAATCCATGGCCATGCCAAGATATCGTTTACTCTTCTGAGCATGGGTTTACCCGACCCGATCCTGAAAATCATGGATAGCTACCTTCAATATGGGAAGACTTTTAAGGTAGAGGGATATGACTTTTAATCACTATGTAGTTTTGTTCTTTATCCGTCGTACTGTTCTGATAGCTACATTGTGATTCATGTGAATACTTCGTTTCGCTTCGGCTTCGCTTGGAATAATGTCCCCCGTGGCCACATGATTGGGGGCGAAAAGTGGCAGGTTCATGATTCCCTTTCTAAGCATCCGACTGTCTAGTTGTCAATCCACAAACGTTTCTTTCCGTTTCCTCAGTCAACGCCCGCCATCCCATCATATTAATTTGAAAAGGCGTAGTATCAGAGACTTCAGTGGTTAGGAGATGTACAGTGAGCTTGACATCATGGGGGACTCTCCTATTCGACGACTGTCCACCACTAGCTCAAACAGTAGCCTGAAGCGAGAAGAGGATCTCATCAATGCCTACGAAGCAGAGGAAGAACGGATCATCAACGTATTGTCCCGCAAACTCGAGCAGGTATGCAAGAGTCAGTTCTCTCTTTGAAAGTGACTTATTCCACACGACGTGTACAGCTTCGTGAGGAGAAAATTCAACTCGAAAACGCGCTCGAAGCAGAGTCGGAATCTCATGTGAATAGGCTTGGTCGGGAATTGTCTGCACTACGGCTTCAGCAGCAGCAGCAACAGCAATCTGGGACGAATGGGATCGCCGCTTCCCCAGATAACAGGGTGGGAGTTCCGACGTTTATGGCTGGTCGAGAACCTATGATTCCAAGTGCAGAAGTCATGCTGGAAACCATGAGACGAGAGAACGAGCAATTGCGCAACCGCCTAGTCGATACAGAAAGAGACTATGTGCGGGTATCGCGGTTAAACGAAGTGTATCGTGAAGAGCTCCTTGAACACAGGAGACGGGTGAGCAACAGCTTTTGATCTGTCTTGTGTGTCTTTAACCATGCCCTCTTATATTCAAGCTCGGTCTGTCAGTCGACAACCTTGTCGGCCTGTCCTCGGCAGACCCATATTCGCAGCCTACGCATCGGCGATCTGTATCTAATCTATCATCGCCCAGCACATCTGCGACACAGCCTTCGCAAGCAATCCATGGTGTCCCTATCCCTCGACCTTCCTCCTCGATACGGCGCCCAACGAACAATGTGTCAGAAAGCAATACACCGTTATCGCATTCTCCTTCCTCGACAGAGTCACCCTTCCCATTCTCGCCTATTGTCGGAACAAATCCTACAAGTTATGTCAGTAATGGGACGCCTATGACGACGCCACCATCGTCTGCTTCGTTAACGTCAAATCCTCCATCAACGTTCACTATTCCTCATATGTTGTCCTATCCCTCAGTGCCACCACCATCACTGTCTTCTTCGTACGGGTCGCCTGTGGTGTCATACATACCGCATCGCGACCACTCACTGTCACCTGTGGTCCCTTTAAGTAGGCGCGGTTCGAACGCACGAGGAAACATTGAGCGTCGTTTCGTGGACCCAGTAGGTGTCAGCAATAATAGAAGTCGGAGCAGACACGGGAGCATTGAAAGGGGTGCACGCGTTGCGGAGACAGGGCAATTGATTCCTCGCTCTCGCCGTGAGAGTCAAAACGTTTCAGCCACGTCATCGGATGTATCTGCGACAGCGGAGGGATGACTTGGACAATCCACATGAAAGTTTGTAGCTTCACTTTCTGATTTTTCCAACGCTACCATCGTTTGTATGCTATCTTTGTTACTGGAGAGCTCATGTATGTAATAATGTTCGGTCCCGTCCCGATCGGTCGAACAATGTGCTATTATGTACCAAATGGGGAATTTGCGCCCGTGACAGGACCCCGCACACCGACGGAGACGAGCACACTTTGTATTTGGAGACTTACACCAGACGTGAGTGACACATCGGGGTGAACGATATTTAAAAGAGGTTTATATGTTGTACAAAATGTGAAAACAATATTTGATATTTAAACTAACATAAAGATGGGTGCACGACTTCAAATTTTGGTGGTGTTTTGTGTGTCATCCAAAATATCAAATATTCACAACCATATTCCCACAGACAATATGTCAACAAATATAATAAATATAATCAGATTTTCCATGTCTGCTTCAATTTAAAGTTTGATTCTTACATAAAACTTTGGAGAAAACTTGAAGTTTTGCCAAAGCTTGACATTTAAATCGAGTTTTAATGTCATGTCATCTGTAAAACTTCAAGTTTTCTCCAAAGTTTTACATGGAAATTGAACTTTAAGTTGAAGCAGACATGAAAAATCTGACTATATTTCTTATGTTTGTTGACATATTGTCTGTGGGAATATGGTTGTGAATATTTGATATTTTGGATTACACACAAAACACCACCAAAATTTGAAGTCGTGCACCCATCTTTATGTTAGTTTAAATATTAAATATTGTCTTCACATTTTGTACAACATATAAACCTCTTTTAAATATCGTTCACCCCGATGTGTGAAAGATTTAATGACATCACTCAGAAACTTCTCTGGCCTCTGTCCAAGTTATTCTACTGGTGGTTGAGTAGCTAGGCTATCTTGATTGAAATTGATAACCATTTTATCATGCAACATTGTCTGTAGATTTCCGGGGTCCTCCCGACGTGACGCATATTCGCTTCGGATCCGCGGAAGCTTTCGAGTCACGCAATATGGGCGCGGTATATAAGAACGCGTCGGGGGAGCATCGCCCCTTTTTTTCAATGTCTTACCAATACCCATACACCCAAGGAAATATGTCAATGCCCCCAACACCTACAACACCATATTCATGGGAGACAACAGAACTCGACAACGACATCCCAGAGCAACTTGATCACCATCAGCCTGTTCAACACGCTTTGAATCCACAGCAACAGCCTCAAAATGTATACGCCACGTCACAGCATATGATTGAGCTTCAAGAACACGTACCCATTGTTCCAAGTCAACGCAGAAGTGATGTCCCACAGCACTTGCATGCATCATCAACGCCAGGACCTTCTTCAAGAAGACAGAATGTCATGTCTGGGTCCCAAGAAATGAGACCTCACATATACGTTGATACGACGCGTCATATGGCAGCTAGCACTAGTCCCTCTTCTGGCCCACCATCTGCCAGTGGTGTGCATTCAGTGGGACCAGTGCGAGCGAAAACATCGCCCGCACACAATACGGTGCATCCATATCGTCGCCCCCAGAGTGCGAACCCAAGACGAGAGAATCAATCAAATCCACCTGTGAGACATACAAGTAGCAGTTATGCACCGGGTCCGTCGATGCCAGCAGCCCAAATACCCGCCCCTGCCTCATTACACAGGTGCGTGATCATGCATTGACATCCATTCAAGGGATGTATTCCTGATCTTATTGTAGGACCGGCATCATCAGCCCATCCCACATCATCCCACCCATACCATCCAATACGACTTTTATACCCAGAGCCGATTACTTCTTTTGCAGCGAGAGTAGAGTGACCACAGCAATGTTTGAACTTCCAGGAGTGAAGAAGAGCGACCTGAAGATCGAGTTGTCAAGATGCCAGAATGGTGTGAAACAAGTATCAATCACAGGAGAATCCAGACAGCCACTTCCAGACGGTCTGATGGCGCTCAAAGAACGAAAGTATGGCAAGTTTCGTAGGATACTTCCCGTTCGTCATGATACCAAGGCGAGTAGGCTAAATTCCCCTATGTTATTGCAGCTCAAGCGCGCATTTTCTGGCAGAAGGAAGACGTCACCGTCGCTTTAGAGGACGGTGTTCTTATTCTTCGCATACACCTGGGGCCACCGCTCCAGCCTGAGGAGTCAGAAATAATCCCTATACCATGAGTGAGCCTGACTTCAAGTTCTATCCAAAGTCTTCCATCGTGCGCCAATTTTTCCGGCAAGAGCAATACGACGTCTGATACCTTCAAGTTGTTTTATCCGCCTTGCTAACACATCTAGCTTTGAAAAATATGCATACACTTGCACTGTCGACTTGCTTTGATCATTCTGCTGTCACCGTTCTGCCTTGAAGTTCTCAGATCCGTAACGATTGTTACATTTTGGCTTCCATAGTCTAGTATAATACACATACATATTTCACACTCACTGTAGCAACATAGTAGTATGTTTCTTGTGATACCATATAGTTATATCTTGATATCGATGTTTTATGTACCGCTTGATGGTCAGCTTATACGCGGCCAATCGCAATCGGCAAGAACTTAGAAGCATCGAATTGCGTGAAGATAGGGTGAAAAAACAACTGTAAATTTTTGGTGGCTTGTTCGCACAGTCCTTGTATTGGCCTATCCTTTTTGTGCGTAAATATTGGCGTGCTGCAGTGGTCAATACGACGATGATCAGTCTGTGGGTCTGGTCAATATCAATGATGCTGCAGCGCTTATTGTTCCGGACTGTCACATTCCAGATGTAGATAAATGTCACGCGCCAGCTGTCACGCTCGCGTCTTGTTCTTCCACCTTCGCGATGGCAGCAGCACTTGAAAGACAGAGCCTAGTAAAGCTATGCTCAGGAGAAACATATGAGAAAGCACAGGCGATTCTACGACTTACAAAAGTCAAGACTGGGGTTGGCACTGGATATCTCGTCGCTCATCCAAGTGCACTCCCAGGAATTTGCGCGTATCTCGCGTCAGAAGAGTGCGCCGTTTTCCGATCACCATTTTCTAGCATCTGATACTCGTTTACAGACTGAATAATAACGAAGTGTCACAAAAGGCCGCGGTCGCGAGCGCTTGCATCAGTCAAAATGACTTTACAAAAGCTTTGAGTATTGTGCGGCAAGCACTTGGCTCGACAGCGCAACAACACACGAGGGATCTTGATTACAGGTCGCTCATTAGCACCTACCATGTAGCGCCGGCCGAAGAGGCCTTGGATTGGATGCACGAAGCAGAAAGCAGTATCCCCAAGGTTGGCATGCTTCGTATGCGTCATCAAGCCAGTACGGTAACTTGTGCCATATTTTATTGGATATGTCAGATCATGGAGGTCTGCATAATATATCCTTTGAATATATTCTTACTCACGTCGTGTTTTTAGGTTCAGGGGGTGCAAGAAAAGTCACTCTGTCAAAACCATGGCGTCCGTCTACCTGCGTTCAAATCTGTTATGAAGGCCCTCGACAAGGAATGCGATGCAGTCGCCGGCCGCATCAAATCTGAGCTACAAGAAATGAAATTTTCTGAGGCGCCTTCGAAACTCCGGACTCGCCCTTCTACTTCGCCACAGAAATCTCCATCCAAATCCGCTATGAAAGCCAAATCACGGGATGTCACGCCAGCGAAGCCCCTCACATTAAAACGTGCTGTGGTGGCCTTTTCCCACAGCATCGATGATCCCGATGACACCCTATTGCCTGAGACCCCGACTAAAAGACGTCGGGTTGAGTCACCTTCCAAACCTAGCGGAAGCGTTTTAACGCCCGCAAAACGTACCAGGGCGCCACAAAGTGCCACACATTCCGTAACTGCGTTTGAGCAGGCTGTCAGGGGAGATTCTACACCACGCCACGAACAGCAAAAGTCTGCGTTTCCCATTGCCGTATCTATTGGCTCACACTCCTCATTGCCTGGTCCTTCTACGCCGCGGCGCTCGCGAAACCAACCATCTAGACTAGTTGAAGAGTCGGCCACCATGGAAGTTGACGAACAACGATCGGCGCCTGCTGGGCCTCCTGTACGCAAACGTTTCCGACCAGTGTTCCTGGACCAGCGACAGTGGTGCAGTCGAGACCCAAAACTTGCCAAGATCTGGGACGCCGCCATAGAGCATAGGACGCGGATGATGGGGTTGTATCCGCATCCATTTGAGCAGTATCGCCCTGTTGTTACCTCCTGAGTCGTGTGACCTTGGCTCATTCCCGATATCATCACAATCCTAGATCATAATTGCTATACTTTGCCATCCACTTTCGTGTCTAGAAGTACATATATCCGTCCATTTTACATGAGTCATTTCTTGATTTTCGCAGAGAATAAAACTTGTTCTGTGCCTGTTGTTACTATTCACCTGTACTGGCGCAGAATGATGATACTGTGAACATTTTTTTGACAACTATGCATTGACTCTACGCAGACCAACTCTGAATGCGTTAGCGGGCGCTCATGGACTTCCGGTAGACATTGCAGAAGTCAAGTCTATTTCTCATCAGGTTAGTAATACAAGACTTTGGTTCTCATTCGTCACGAACATTTGAAGGGTGACTTTGTGCCGCAGTAGTTGTTGGCAGATTGCTACTGTTCCGCCATTCGCTGTGGCAGGACTTGGCAGAAGTTGAAAAGGTACCGGAGCGTGGAGGCATGAGATGAATTCATGATAAATTGTGCAGTTGTCAATGCAAATCTTAGAGCCTAAGTTTCCTGACTGTATCTACCCAATAAATGTACATTAGAAGTTTAGAACTACCTGTTCATCCATGGCAAAGCTAGCTAAGTCCGCAGGGCGCCCTCTCCCCAAGGTTGTCAAAGACAATTTTGACCGCCTGGAAGATATCTGATGCACTCAAGAAGCAAAATGTGGTTAAGAATCATCATCTTAATATCAACGGACTTGAGGTATTTCGATGAGTTGGAGCGAGTTGAGGCTAGTATGGTACAAAGTCCATTGACGAGTTCTCGGCAATTTATCATGGTGCGAGAGGGTACTATGGGGATGTCGCATCCGAGTGATTATCGATTGATGTCGGCCTGGTTTCTTGCAGTTGATGGATAATTTACCTCCTCTGAGTTTCGCCCGGTTTTGTCATTAGTTTTGCTATGTTCTACCGGTTCTGCTGGCAGAACTGCCCGCAAATCTAGTTCTGCCCACGACACTATCGAATTGCGCGTCAAGACTTTAACATGTCCCATGCCGTACTTTCTGCGAAGATAGCCTCGTTCTTGACAGCTACGTTGACGACCACGAAACGATGCGGTTAATGAAGGTCAATTTTAAGAACTGCATCAAGGACGCTGGTCAGTGATGAAAGGAGGAGCGGCCGTCTTCGGGACTAGCGGACCTTTAACGTTGTAACTTTTGTTCTGTTTGTCATTCTGCGACCTTGTTTGTCTACCCACCTTGTTACTCCCTTTGCAGGGTCATTATCAAAGCTCTCACATCAGACTTAGGGTGATGTCGATACCTAGTCGCACATTAAATCACTCTAGAAACACGCACATACATTCATATTCACTGAATCAAGTTTGATTGTGATTTCAGGATGCGACCGTAGCGGGCTCTGCCGCGAGCACTGGACCCGGCTCTACCCTGCCTCTCAGGAGAGGAAGAGTCTCAGGCTGCTATGGCTGAATGGAACGTGTGTACAACGTGTCATGCTACATGTCTATGTATGGCTGAGACTGAGACCCTGAGACTCCTGGCACCCATCTGCCTGCTCCTCCTGTCCGCTGCTCCCGTCTCACCGGCAACCTGTACGTTATAGAACTTATAAATGCTGAACTGATCTCCCTGCCGAGTTTATTATTTCCGCCTATGAGATGCCTGGCTGCTATAGACAACCCCCAAACCAACGTTCTTTCGACTGTTAAGATTGTCCATTGATGGTCAACTTATCTAATTTGAATTTGAATGATACGTGCATTGCCAGCGAGCCAACTTGATGAGCTTAATACACTAACTCCATTACCTTATTTTCGGACCGTCGTCCTGGATCATGGATGCCAGCACAACAAGAAAATTGGGCTGGGAGGGTGTCCGCCGACGCATATACTAGTATGAGTACTGAATAGTAAATTTTCCCTTCCCTTTAGGTTTAACTTGAATCTCTTCAGGCTACACAGTCAACAATACTACTCGCGTTATACTATGATGTCGCGATCCAACCCCACACCATATTGCAACAATGTTACAGATCTCCAGCACTCATTGTCCGCTGAACTCTCTCAGCGGCTCAAAGATCTCCTGGATCAAGCCCTGCTCGGTTTCATACGGCCAAATTCCACGTCTCAGTTTGCTCAACATGCTTCCGAGTTGGCTAACTTCCGCGAGGCTATAGCACAGAGGAATTCGAATGATGATATAGAATTTCTGCGCAGCTTCCGAGAATTCGTTCCAACTACGAATTACGAACCTTACAGCCCGCTCATAGCCAAGTTTTTTGCGACCCCTTGCAAGGAGTCTGATGTAAAGAGCATGTTCGCCCCAGGACTGCCCTACTGCTTAGCCATTTCCAGCACGACATCTGGAAGAGCGCCAAAAACATTCCCAATATATCGACCTGCATCGCACCTTTTGCATCATCCCTTATATTTGTCGCTTCGCGACTCAGAGGGTAGTACCTTATCACCATCTTCTTTGAGTTTCGGGCAAGCCCTGAAAATGGATCTCGAGGATGGTCAGAGCTCCAAGATGTTGCCGGTCTGCTCGGTAACCGTCGGTTTTCTGCGAATGCAAATGAACTGGGACATCGAGCATGATATGGACAGACTCGAATTATGGGGTAAGTTCGTTGTATTATTTTCCCTTGCATCTACTGATATCTAGGCAACTGTCAGTTCCAGGGAAAACGGGCCCATACGCGATTTCCTTGGTGAAGAACTATCGTGCTTTCTTCATTTTGAATGCGCTATTTGCACTCACAGACTGCCGTGTGACAACTATCCGCTTCCTCTTCGCCAGTGTATTCGTCAATTTTTTGCAATACATAGAGGATGAGTGGACTCTCCTCATCGACTGCATCGCGAAAGGGATCATTCCAGACATGGAAAACCTAGAGCACGTGCGAGAACCTTTGGAGGTTGTATTTACGTTGATTTTACATCTCATTCAACTCACAGTTTGTCTCAGAAACATTTTACTCCAAACCCTATCCGTGCTGCTGAGCTTCGCGAAATCGGACCTCCTGGTATCGAGGGCTGGGCAGTCCGTGTATGGCCTGACTTGGAAAAATTTATCGGGATCACCGGAGGCCCCGCCGCTGCATCCGTTCCAAAGGTATGTCAAGTGTGGAAGGTTTACTGTGCAATTGGAAACTCAGCGACATAAGGTTACTCATGTCCTCGGACCCTCTGTTGCCATGCAGTCTCCTTGTTATGGCAGCTCTGAATGTTATATCGCCATACCATATTTGAACGGCAACCCTAATACCGACTTCAAGGTGGTGCCCGTAGATGGGGTCACCGAGTATCTGGACGTGCGTTCCAACGAGCCTTCTGAGCGTGTATTGTCCGCTGTAAGATCCATCTACAGCATTCCGGCTTTGTGTACTCATCCCTGTCGCAGTGGGAGCTTGAGACTGGAGGGCATTATGAACCCGTCTTGACGACTCGTAATGGCTTGTGGAGATACCGTATCGGCGATGTCGTCGTCGTTAAAGGCTTTGCGCCAGATGATGGATTACCTGTCATCAATTACCTTCATAGGCGAGAGTAAGTTACGATATGATTGATTTGTGGCTTAGCAGCTGAAGCGCCCGCCGAGAAGTGGCTCACTTGGACTGGCGTATGGAACAGCGTGTACAGAGTCGCAATTGACGGATGCGATCGTATCTGCGTCTGAACGATGGATCGGCCAAATCATAGATTTCACTGTTGTGGCCGACGACCGAGACACGCCAGTCACTTATGGGTACTTGGTAGAAATTGGAGGTGATATAGGTTCGTGCTTACTTCGTACTCTTCCACGCGACTGCGCTTATTTATATTCGCAGGAATGGAGGCGAAAATGGCAACACAGCAAATTTTTGAAGACCTCATGGAAAACAATGAGTATCATATGGCTTTTTGGCAAGGAAGAGCAAGGAAGCCAACTGTCCGTCTCGTGAAGAAGGGCACGTTCACTGAATATCGCAGGCAGAAATGCGAGAAGACAAACGTCTCGATGGCCCAAGTGAAGGTTCCCATCGTCTTATCCGACCCATCGTTTAGGGAATGGCTCCTGCAGAAAGTTATCACGGAGTTGTAAAATAATGACATATTGTACAAGCCGGCTGGAATGTCTTACCTTTCCGCACTTGCATATAGTTACAATTCTCTGGGCAGACCACGTGATATCTGAACTGCATTGACTGGCGGATGATTGATACTTGACAGGTTGGAATTCAATGATATCACGAATCCACACCCTTGCCACACCCTAGTACTGTTTAGCCGTGTCCAACGGTAGTACGACATCCGGCAAATCAGTAAAGGCATTTCCAACATACCGACCTGGCACCTCATTCAAGGGTAGCGTCTCATCGCCATCCCCTTCGGGTATCTTGCAAGTCTTGAAATTGTGTGGCGAGGACGGTCAGAACTCCAAGACGTTGGCGTCTACTTGGTAACCCTCGGTTATATGCGAATGCAAATGAACTGGATCATCGAGCATGATATGGACAGACTCTACTCATGGGGTAAGTCCGTTGTGCTGCTTTTCCTTGCACCTGCTGATATCCCAGGTAACTTTGAATTCGGAAAACAAATCCATACGTGGGGCTGTCGTGCTTTTCTCATTTTGAATGCACTATTTGCACTCCCAGACTACCTCCGCTTCCTCTTCGCCCGCATTTTTTTGCAGTGAAGCGGAACACATAGGCTACACGTGTCTGCCTATGAAGATGTGCAACGCGGGAAGTTCCAAGCGACGTTTAACATCCCTACTCGTCGTGACATGCAGGTATTTCTGCCTGATTCCTTGTTCCGAGGTAGAACTGAAAGCAGATCTGCAAACCGATATAGATGATCCTGTTGCATTACTGCTGGAACTAACTACCGTTTCGTCCTACCCGAAGGAGAAAGACGCTGTGTCGACACCTTTCAGGTAGTCTAGCTGACGCTAAATTTTTCCAGGCGTCTCGCGGTGCACGAAATCGTGTGTCAGCGGGTGTACGATAGCCTAGAAAAGCAAAACCTGCATCTACTTGAACATATCTGTACACGTGGCAGTATGCTCGGTACCGTACTGCGTCATGATCGATTGCTGGAGCCGTATTAATGTGCCGTCAATCCGCACCAATTTCAGAGTAAATGCAGCGATACTCATCGAACACCATGCGCACAATGCAATTCAATGGCATTGATCAATGTTCGACTGTCTTCTTTTACGGTTTAACGACCTTACGGGAAACCAGATACGAGTAGGACCGTACGTCTCTCCTTATTATTCACTATCAACCCCATTAATGTTCGCGCATAAACCACCATTTTCACATGGTGCATTTCAAGATGCTCATCCCCGAATAAGAGCAGTGACAGGCAGAATCATCGAAGATCATGGACTTGATCCATTCAGTCAGTCACAATTGCATACAACTGAGATCTTTTTGGCAAGCGCAGGACGGCTTTGCACATTAGGAGATTTTGTTTATAGATGCCGATGAGTGATTCAATTTGAATATGACGCGATGTATAGGATGCTGATTATAGAAAATGTACGGGGGATATCATCTCATCTTCATATGGTACCGGTATACTGGTTGATATGCCACATTCTCAGGTAAGCACATGCATTATATATGGTCACCTCTTTGGATATTCCTGTTGTGTAAAGGTCAGCACAACGCGACACTTGGACTTCTTGGGCTTTGAGCCTACTCTAAGAAGTGCGTAGTAAGGCTCACGCGAGACGCTGCAGGTCGATCCCATCAGGTGATACAAGCCTTCGACTATATAATGTCGCATTCCAACTTTACACCATATCAAACTGATGTCTCGTTCTGACACTGATCTACTGGATTCCTTGTCCGCCGAACTCACTCAGCGGGTAAAGGAGCACATAGACCAAGCCCTGCTCCAGTTTATACGACCGAATTTCAGTATGCTCAATATGCTCCCGAGTTGGCAAACTTCCGCGAGGCCATCGCGCAAAATGACTCGAAGGACGATATTCATTTTCTACATAGCTTCCGAGAATTTGTTCCTACCACAGACTATGAGCCTCACAAACCATACATAGCAAAGTTTTTCGCGACCCAATGCAAGAAGTCCGACGTAACAGACCTATTCGCCCCAGGACTGCCCTACTGCTTAGCCATGTCCAGCATGACATCTGGCAAATCATTAAAGATGCTTCCAACATACTGGCCCGCTCCGCACTTGTTGCACCACCCTCTATATCTGTGGCTTCCTCGTTCAGAGGGTAGTACCTTATCACCATCTTCTTTGAGTATCGGGCAAGTCCTGAAATTGTATAGTGAGGGTGGTCAGAGCTCCAAGACGTTGCCGGTCTGCTCTTTAACCGTCGGTTTTCTCCGAATGCAAAAGAATTGGGACATCGAGCATGACATGGACAGACTCAACTTGTGGGGTAAGTCCGTTGTGCTGCTTTCTTTCCCTTGCACCTGCTGATATCCAGCCCGCTTGTAATTCCGGGGAAAACAGATCCGTACGCGATTTCCTTGTTGAAGGGCTTTCGTGCTTTCTTCCTTTTGAACGCGCTATTTGCACTCGCTGACCGTCGGGTGACAACCATCCGCGCCCTCTTCGCCAATGTATTCGTCAATCTATTGCAATACATAGAGGAGAACCTTTGGAGGTTGTATCTGCGGTGATTATTACTTTTCATTCAACTCACAAATCCTCTCAGAAACATTTTACTCCAAACCTTATTCGTGCTGCCGAACTTCGCGAAATTGGACCTCCTGGAATCCAGGGATGGGCCGTCCGTGTGTGGCCTGACTTTAAAAAGTTCATCGGGATCACTGGAGGCTCCGCTGCTGCATCCGTTCCAAAGGCACCTCAAATGTGGAAGGTTTACTATGCAACTAACTGATCGAATCGAAACAAGGTTGCTCATATCCTCGAACCTTCTGTCACGATGCCGGCTCCTGGAGTCCTGGTTATGGCAGTTCAGAATGTTCTATCGCCCTACCATATTTCAACGGCAATCCTAATACCGACTTCAAAGTAGTGCCTGTAAATGGGGTCACCGAGTATCTGGACGTGCATTCCAACGAGCCTTCTGAGCGTGTATTGTCCGCTGTAGAAACCATTTACTGCATTCCGGCTTTGTATATTCATCCCTGCCGCAGTAGGAGCTTGAGACTGGAGGGCATTACGAGCCCGTCTTGACGACCCGCAACGGCATGTGGAGATACCGCATTGGCGATGTCGTCGTCGTTAAAGGCTTGTGATTATCGACTCGGCATATGACATCGATCTTGCCGCAAAGAGGATCTTATGGGGCAAGTGCAATAATGCGGGACAGGTGAGTTTATGTTGACCGATTTAGGGTTACTCCCGATGCGGTATACTGAACAGGAATTCTGGCAGACCTGCGTGGAACCGAGATGCCTGCTGAGGGAGCGGCTCACTTAATCTGGCGTATGGATCAACATGTACAGAGTCGCCACTGACGAACGTGATCGTATCTGCATCTGAACGGTGAATCAGCCAGATCATAGATTTCACTGTTGTATCTGACGACCGAATCGCTCCAGTTACTTATGGGTAATTGGTAGAGATTGAAGGGGAAATAGGTTCGTGCTTGCTTCGGGGCTCCTACGCGTGACTGCGCTGACGATGTTCACAGGAAAGGACGCGAAAAAGGCGGTACAGCATACTTTTGAAGACCTCGCGAAAAACAATGAGTATCATTTTGCGTTTTTGCAAGCGAGAGGAAGAAAGCCAACCATACGTCTCGTAGAGAGAGGCACATTTTTGCAGGCAGAAATGCGACAAGACAAGTATCTGGATGGGCCAAGTGAAGGTTCCCATCGTCCTATCCAACGAGACGTTTAAGGAATGGTTCCTGCAGAGTGTCGTCATGGAGCTGTAAGATATTGCATGTACAAGAGTCTCATAATTTTTATGATTTTGGTCGTTGGAATTGTTGTCGAGATGTCGGGGTCTGTTGTACTGATAAGCATGTCTATTTCGAATCTTTTGTTCTCCGCGGGCAGCAAGTGCTGAAGTCAACATTTGGATCATCCGACACAAGCTCAGCCCCAGGGAAGTTTCAAGCAAAATAGACAAGTGATAGTACACTAGTTGATGCGATTTGTAGATATAACAGTACAATGGTCAAGCATGCGCATGTTAAACTGAGAGATACATCTGTGCTAGGTTTTTACATGACAGTGCGGACTCGGAAGAAATATCATGCTGACAATGCTACTTGGTACTTAGCTAGCGTAGCAATAACAAGGCTGCGATCAGCTCCAATAGCACATGTCAGATATCATGCAGCAGTGCGCCGCTCAAGAAGACCGCTCTGGCTCAGACATCATATCCCAATCGCTGCCACTATCCGGGCAGTCGTCACCAACCGACGCGTCCGACCAGGACTCACTAGAACTCCCACTAACACTTGCAGATCGACTGACCGGGATCAGAGGGCGCTGTGTGCACGATAGCTCACTCGAGGATCTTGCGTCTGAGAGAGGGATTCTACGTAGCGCCGGTGAAGACGCCCCATCACTCTCATCCTCATATTCAAACTCAAAGACGCTCGAAGGAACCGAAGGCGATCGGGGCGGATCATGGATCGGTGTCGAAGGGATGGAAAAGTTATAAGGCGAAGGCGAAGACCGTCGCGAGGCATCATCCACCTCCTGCAACGGGCTCCATCTCGGACGGCTCTCCCCGAAATCAAGATATCCTCGCATAGCTTTGGAGATATCCACAGCACTGGTGTTGGGCGAAGGCGGCACCGAACCATAAGTGGAGGAATCGCATGAGGAGGAGGAAGACGACATATCGGAAGCCCACGGGTCGATGATCGTGCAATCAGGTAGGCGCGGAGCGTTCCCATCGCGCAGAGTTTCCGTGCTCGACACCTTCCTGACCCTATCATGCTTCTCATCCCACTTCACCATCTCCTCTCTCTCCCTCGCGTGTCGCGCGAACATCTCATCCCACAACGTCGGCACCGGGCCCTTGTGCTTCAACATATTCCTAAGCGCCCACTCCGTATCAAGCATCGCGAGGTACGTGACGTCTTTCCAGACGCCAACCACACCCCTTCTCTCAGGCTTCAACACCGACCGCCGTCGGGTGCCTTCGTGTCTAAATCCCTGTCCAACAAAAAGACGCATCGCGCGGTCTTTCTGGGCGTCATCCATGAGCGCCGCTTGGATACGATGGAACTTGAGATCTTCAAACGCCCATTTCAGCGCAAGCTCCACAGCTTCGCAAGCATATCCCTTGCGTCGGTGGCTTTCAGAGATGATGATCCCCACATTTGCTTCTTGTGCTGCGCTCTGCGCAGGGGCAGCGGTGACGTATACGAGGCCGATCGGTTCCCCTCCATTGGAGACTTCTTCTTCTTCCTCTAAAGGGATGGTGAAATCGCCCGATACTGACACCTCGTACTTGTCTCTCAACATCACGATGGCGCACAGCAAGCAGTCTTCTGCGAAATTGATTAGATATGGTACCGGCGCTTGCATAGGCTCTACTGCGCCCTCCATGAGCTCGTTCCACAAAACGGTGAGGAAAGTATTTTGGTAGTTGGAAAAGTCGAGTGGCGAGAGAGCCACATTTTGTGATTGAGTTAACATGACAAGGCGAGCGATGGAGTAAAGAGCGGGGCTTCTGCGGCACTGTCGTATCCAAAAGATATATATCGACTTCGAAGACGCCCACAGCAATCAGTGGGTGTTGCTCAGCTAGCACAGATCACGCCTAAATTTGGTTTGTGAACATGTAACCAACCTTGTATTTAGACTTGGGCGTAGCGAATTAGAGGGCGATTCGAGCGTTGAAGACAGGGGTGAATTCTCACGACTGAAACACGAGGAGCAGGTTAAACCAATTGGAACAACGTTCTAGACGAACATTCCTAGGCATTACACGTTATACGGCGGTTTGCCACCAATGGTCCAATCAAGCTCTAGCGTCAAGTGCGATAAGTAAGGCCCATTATATAATAATACAGGTTGTCTGTGAAATGAACGTTCGATTTATATCCCTCCAAAGGGCACGAGGGGTGCTGCCTCCGTGATATCGAGCGTCAGCGGGATGTCCATGATCCACCTGACCATCATGTCCTATGTATACTATAAGCGAAACCTCAACAGTCGGATTATATCACTCACCAAGGCAGCTTCAGGTTGGTCGTAAGGAACCATGTGCCTGAAAAGATAAGCGGTTAACTATCGAGATACAAAAATAAGGTATAGGTTTCTAACCCAGATTCATAAACAGTCACAAAAGTGACGTTTCCAGCGCCAGAACCAGCGCCACCGGCAGACCGGACAGTACCAGCGACCTTTCCAGAACGCATCGTTACCCACTGCTCAGTCGGAGCCGTAGAGAATTCCTCCAAGAAGACGGTATCGAGTTGTTCGACCCACCGTTCGTTACCCTGCATCATACGTGAGCTTACGCCACACAAACCTGAATGATGACATATGCACCATGTAATTGCACATCATATCTGAGAACGGCATCAGAAATCCGCAGGTACGATAGATAGAAGGTCTACTCACCCGCATTACCAGCATAGATCAACAGCCTGACGCCATCATTGATCATGTCCGTCAACAACAGAGGCGTGTTCCGCATCGAATCGCCTTGGAGCATGAACGCCTGGTTGACGGCCATGTTGCAGGACTCGAACTTGCGTTGCGGGTTCACACCGAGTGCAGCTTTCACCTCGGGATCGTTCATGAAAGTCTCGATCCAGCCCATCTGGCGGTAACACAGAGGCCCATCTTTCTCACGATCGCATTTGATACGCGCATCGTAAGGGTTGAGACCGGATTCTGAAGGGCGAGAGTTCAGGTATGATTCAGATCTCGTTCTCGTAACAACAGCAGCACACACGCACGTTGGATGGGAGCATATAGCTGAGAGTTGCAATACAGCGCAGCAGGCACACAAGTCAACCGGGAGTTGAAATCACGACAAGACTTGATCAGCCTCTGGCAAGTCGGGACTTTACTCCTCAGCGCAGCGCACTGCGCACCATTGGGGTCATCATAGATCGGGTACGGTCCTTCGCAGAGATAATCGGGTATCGACGCCATCTGGACGTAGTTGTCCGTCATCCCGTTGCCCATCATGACAGACGCGAGGTTGATCTTGACAAGTCCCGCATTGGGCGAAAGAGGAAGGAGTTGGTTCTCGGTGTAGATCACGTTCGCGATGTGCGGGACATAAGTCCCTCCATAGCTCTCTGCAGCGAGATGGAAAGGCTGAGTGGAGTATTCGGGGAAGCGGCTGAGGAAGAGTTCCATGAATGCATAGACGTCCTTTCCAGCTACGGGGCTCGTGTCGACGGTGCTCCCGTCTTCAGAGTACGAATACCCGACGTTGATAGGCTGGTCGAGGAAGATCACGTTAGCGTGGGTATTCCAGCTGTGGGGGTTAAACGTCGTGTTGGCGCCTCCGTCTGCGATATTACACGGTCCGAGCTCGAACAAGAGACCAGTGGAGGAGCTGCATCCTGGGCCGCCATTCAGCCACATCACAAGGGGCGCATCTTCCGGGGAGGTGCGTGACTCGAAGAACCTAGATAAAAATGAATAAGATTATGACCGATCAAAGAAAAAAGAAAAAAAGATGGCATCAATTGAAAACTGACCAGAAGAACAAATGTTTGTCGTCGGTGATATCGAGGTAACCGGAGTACTGCTTCACCGAAGGGTCACATAGCTTAGGCTCCGTGACCCTGAGCTTGTAGTCGCCAAAATGAGGGTGTTGAACCAGCTCGTCTGCGATGGGGTTGTTTCAGCTTCGGTTTTAGCGGGAACCGGATCGACTTACAGGTTAACCCGTGTTGTTTGATGAATTGCTTTCCGTCTTCGTACCATTCATGCACTCTTTCGGCGTCTGGTAGGTGGAAGAGGTCGTTCTGAACAGGGCTAGTGCCTCCAAGAACGACTTGGGTGTTCTCGGCTGGCGCTGCGAGGATCGCTGGTGCGACGAGGGCGAGCGGGAGGAGACTGAGGATCTTCTTCATATTGAAGGTGATATAACGGCAGCTGGCACCGTCTTACTTCGTTCAAGTACGAGAAGGTGAACTTGTGGGATTGCACTTCAAGCTTCAACACGAATCGTGACACAGCTTTGTTTGGCAGCAAACAACCGTGTACATGCTGCCAACGCGTGTGACCCTCCGAGTACCCTCGACATGATTTTTCGGCCGCTCCGGATAAATTATCTCGACCTTGCATATGTTGTGCCGCATGTAGCTGGCCGATAATCAAGGAGCTCGTGCACTTAAGAGGCTAGGCCATCAGAGAATCCACGGATGATATCGTATGGTTGTGATCCCAGCAAGTTTGATGGGCGCCGCAGAAACTGATTTGATAGTCAGCTGTACTGCCCATGTCCTCGTCCTGCGACCATGAGTAAATCCCACCAATTATATTGATTATTCGTAGTAAGTATCAGTCCATTTCGCACTAAGCGCCCGTAGCAGATGCTACGATACGATACATGCTTACGAACAGCTTTATGTATGTGTAACAAGCGACTGAGTGGGTGTACAGCGTCCTGCACTAATATACCCTGCACCATGACCCCAGAAGAAAGAGAGAGCTACAGGCTGCGCAGAGGAGCGGGTAGAAGGGGGGAATCTAAAGTGTCCCTGAGGTATATAAGTGCATTCGCAACAATAGAACCGATGACAACGGCTGATGACACAACATAGTCACAGGCATAGGTAGTTGGGGCGCGGGAGGTCGCGGGAGTTCCATGCAGGTATCTCAGGTCTTGAAAAGCGATATCAGATGTCAGGTTACAAGCGCGCTTCTCCTCAGGTTATCGCGAACGAGAACATCTTGCACTGGTATCGAGTCAGCATGGAAGATCGAAACAAAGACAGGTACATACCGTTCTCGAGGATATATGTCGTCGATTTTGTGTCCTGTAAATTAAGCTCGGTTACCAAGAGTGCCTATGGACAATTGCGAAAGATCTTACAGTCACTGATGTAAGATGGAAATAGTATAGTCGCTCGGGAGAATGCTCTTTTAGCAAGCCAGCGAATTTCTTCTTCAGGTCTGATAAGCCGACACGTCAGAGAGTGAGTTGACAGCAGAGGGCATGACTTGCATTGACTAGCACTTTCAAAGTCATTCGGCCGACTCCCGTAGCTGACGATGTAATCAGCCAAGCGAATGCCTGATGCGAGCTTGGCGCGCAGGATATCGCATTTATTTAGAAAGAGGATGAGCTCCGTCTTCTTCAGCAGGGGATTAGACACAATAGCTTTCCAAAGAAGAAAAGAATCGGCCTGCCACAAAGAATGAGTGAAAGTCAGGGGGGAGGAGATAAGGCGTACCAATCTATTTACGGATGGGTCTTCTTGGAGGACCTGGTCAAAGCAGCTTATGGGTGCCAGGAAAATGATGGCATTCATATCATCAAAGTATGGAACCCACGCGGCTCTCTACCAAAAAGGCAAGTGAGTCAAGACCACGTTGACACACTAGTACTCACCAGTGATCTCTGGCCGCCAACATCGAATACGCGCCAATCATGGCTCATAGGTGATCCCATGGAACCTAGTTAATAATCGGTGACAATGCGGTAGTAATGTTATTGCGGCGCAAACCTGTTTTCATAGTGAATCGATGTTCCGACACTCCGAGAGTCTTTAGCCGCGCGCGGAGAACGTCGTCTGAATTTCAAATGAGCGTGAATTACAAGCTATCGAGAATCTTACCATCAGTGGGCACGTATCGCGGGGAAGTCACACGATCTAGTGCATCAAGGAAGCTGCAAAGAGATGAGAGCGAGATACGAGACCATGATTGGAAAACGTACAAGCCAGCCATCTCTTCCGGTCTCATTTTCTCAATGTCCATCAATTTGCGGATGATAGGATCCGTCCAGAGCCGTTTCATGTCTTCTGCGCAAGCGTTCAAAACCACGCCAGGGTCGTCTGGGTCGGACCAGTCGATTAGATCCGCACTGTCGCAGCTGTTTCGGCCCATGAGCCGACTGAATGTATTCTTCCAGCCTACGGAAGAGTTGACGCTGATCTCTTGCTGAATAAAAAGGGATTGTGCGGGATTAGCTAATGTGGAGAGCTGGGCGTGGCCATTGGGGAGAAGCTTCTTTATCAAGGCGACCTCGACTTGTAGTAAGGGAGCCAAGCGCATTTTGAGCTTCAAATGTTCTGGGTTGAGGGGTGGGTATTCCTTGAGGGGTAGAGAAGAGGGATTTGGCAAGTGAGTCAAGGAGGTGGAAGGGTGGGCTGAGGAATGTGCCTTGGACATTAGGTCCAAGATTGCGTGGATAGATTGAACGACATTGAGTTGGATGACGGCTCTCCAGGACGCACGTTCTGAGCGAAAGGCCTAGATGGATATGAGTGAAGAGATCGTCGGAGATTAATCCGTCGTCACCTTTGGAGAGTTCATGAGTTGGAAGTCTTGTAATGTATCCAAATGAAGTTAAATTGTAGTCTGACCATAAATAGAAATGGGGCTTACTTTTCAGAGTTGTCGATTTGCCTGGAAGGTATGGGGTGAGCTGACTGGAGGGTAGAGAAAGCTACAAGTGACTCGCCTGATTCGCTCTGGCCTGGTGGGGATTGTTAATGGGGGATGAAGATGAAGGGTAGTGTGAGCTTACCTAGGAGGAGTATTTTGATTGCCTTTGGACCTTTCTTCTCTGAGATACGTTGTTTGTTGAGTTCGTCGTCGATTGCGTCAGACACACGCTTTGCTTCTTGTTCCGCAGCAAGTCGTTCCTCGCGTTCTGCTTGTGATTCTGTGGGGGGAGGTGCGATTGCTAGAGTGAGAGGATCGTCTTCTGATACTCTTTGTCGTTTTGAGGAAGGCATGATGATGGAAAGTGGCGGTTGAGATGTAAGGTGGGGTGACGGTAGGAGACTAAAAGGTACATGTGGATCGGCGGTATGCTCCATTCAGTTGGATCCGGACTCGTCTTGTGACTTGATCGCAAGCTGTTCCTGTCAGAGTATGACTGCCATCAAAGAGCACTTCTTGCTTCCTGGTTCAGTGCCTCGGTCCACATGTATTTCCGTTTTGCCTTACGAGGTATTACTCACCCATTGACGGCCGTGTGATGAGGCCATGTACCGATCAGGCAAAATTATGGTCCCCGTTTAAGGAGCAGCGGCATAAAACGATTCTTGTCTTGAATTCCGCGATTCTGTTTCCATATGCCTCCGTTAAGTATGTCAAGGTATCTTCCGAATTCTCGCTCTCCGCCGATACCATGGGTACAACATCAAAACTTGTATCCAAGCGTCGGTTCCGAACCCAATGGCAATACTCTCCAGTTGGCCCTCGGCAACAGCGTACAATCGAACAGCGACCATCGCTTGACCTACTTCTTTTTCAGGTCTGACGGATGGCAACTCAAGTTGGCAGCAACACGATCATTGTCATGCATACAAGTCGATTATGTTTGTCAGCAGACCACTGTCGACGTCCACCCCTGTCTTACACAGGCTCCCCCGTGTTTCCCTCCATTTCAATCACTCTCTCTTGACATTGGAACGTTCGCCACTGGTCGTAATGACGTTGCGGCAGCCGGTGACCGACTACATCCGTTATAGTCAAATGGCAAGGGACAGGTCTTCAGCTAGCTGGGTTTCAACACAATTGTTTCCGCGCCATCGAATACAAGGCAAAACATTTGAGCCCCTTCGGTTTGTTCCCTGGCCTGTTTGCAGCTTAATTGTGTTTCCATTCCTGTCGATGGATCTATGCGATCGTCTTCTCCCAGTCCGGCGTTGATGGCGAGTCACGAGGTTATAGGTCATGTCATGTGCAAGGACGAAAGTCGAATACCCTCCAGGTCATTGCACACGATAAGCAGATTCATGTCAAACATGAGTTCTAATTAAAGTTCATGGAATCCGCGTGCAGCAAGCCACGAGGTGAACTTGCTTTGATGCTGTGCCAGTGTGCTTTTAAAACAGTACTTGTGATGATCTTCACCGTTAGTCCTCACGAATGGCGCTCCAAGTACTCGCTGATAGGCATGTGAAGCTAAAAATCTGACGGTCTTCCATTCGGCTACCTCGGAGTCTACGCTTACTCCACTATCTCACAGGCGAAACGCCGAGGATATCAGATTACTGGGATTTCAAGCAGGCTCTTAGCACTGCACTACATAGGCTCAGTTCATGACGCCTCTGACGCAGCCACGCTGATCGTGATGAGCTTACACAATCGTTTGGTGCTAGAGTAGAGGAATAAATACACATGGCGCACAAGTCCAAAATAAAAAAAGAGGCAGTGCGCACGGAAGCAAAGCTAGAAGCTTAAACGCGATGGTTTAAAGGTCCTCCCGTCCACTCCGTCATGAGAAAAGCCAAGCCTCTAGCCCTTTCACTTTTACACAAAATCTCCATTTTCACCCGATTGTGGTCCAAAATTGAGGTGAGAAATTTAGTTTAGCCTTACCCTCCCCAACGAGTTGGCGCGTGGAGTGCTCGTCACTCTGACGACTCGGCTTTCCGTCTCGTGCTGTTTTCTTCCATTACACTAGACAAGAATTTGGGGCAAAATGATATACCTTTTAGGTTCATTCGTGTCAGCAATATATATTTTAGCGCTGCGCTTGCGTTACGAAATCAATTTATCTCCAACCCCAAAGAATTTGGTGCGAAATAAAGGCTCTTTCGTCACTTCGTCTTTTTCTTCCTGACCACCTTCTTTCATGTCGACCGTCCCTCCAGTTCGCTCGACGCCTTCGTCGATGGAGACTCTCACCCCCCCTATTACTCCGAAGCTTAATGCCGACCCTACCTCCCAGCCCTCAAAGAAGTTTATTGACGATCCCGAGCACGTCCCCGCGGACGTTAATATTCCAGATAACTACGTGTCCTACACTCTCAAACATCAAAAATCCCTTCCCCCACTCGGTTGGGACAACTGGTACACAGAGTTAAACTGGTTACACGTTGCAATTCTCGCCGGCACGCCTGTCATCGGTCTCGTCGGCGCGTACTACACTCCCCTTCGATGGGAGACCGCCGTTTGGTCAGTCGTATACTACTACATGACCGGTCTCGGTAAGCTTTGGCATCTACCTTGGAAAGCCTGTTGTCTCACCGTGCTTCCAGGCATCACTGCAGGTTACCACCGGCTATGGGCACACCGTTCTTACAACGCGTCGAAGCCCCTTCAGTATGTTCTTGCATTCGTCGGCGCAGGCGCGGTTGAAGGCTCTATCAAATGGTGGTCACGAGGACACCGTGCTCACCATCGTTACACCGACACCGACCTTGACCCATACAACGCACACCGCGGTCTTCTATGGTCACACATCGGATGGATGGTTGTCAAGCCCCGTCGCAAACCTGGCGTTGCTGATGTTAGCGACTTGACAAAGAACGAGATCGTGAGATGGCAGCACAAATACTACCTGAGCCTGGTCGTGATCATGGGCTTCCTCTTCCCCACTGTCGTGGCTGGTCTTTGCTGGGGCGACTGGCAGGGTGGCTACATCTACGCCGGTCTTTTGCGTCTTTGCTTTGTTCACCATGTATGTCTGTTGTTGCCTTTTATTCCGGTACACCGTTAATCTCGCGCATATAGTCCACGTTTTGCGTGAATTCGCTCGCTCATTGGTTGGGTGAAACGCCATTCGACGACAAACACAGCCCTCGCGATCACCTCGTAACTGCCCTCGTCACAATTGGTGAAGGATACCACAACTTCCACCACCAATTCCCCATGGACTACCGCAACGCCATCAAGTGGTACCAATACGACCCTACAAAGTGGTTCATTTGGTCGTGCCAGAAGCTTGGTCTCGCAAGCCATTTGAAGGTGTGTCTGTTGCAGATGCGCTAGGATACTTGATTCATCCAGATCTATTAGTCCTTCCCTGACAACGAGGTCCGCAAGGGTCAGCTCACCATGCAACTGAAACGTCTTCGCGAGACCCAGGAAACCCTGTCATGGCCTACTGATAACAGTGACCTGCCCGTCATTTCCTGGGAGAGCTGTACGTACTTGTCCGCGTGTGCCAGATGCATTTTCTAATACATTCCGCCTAGACCTTGAACAAGCCAAGAGTCGTCCGGTCATCTGCATTGCTGGCTTCATTCACGATGTTTCAGACTTCCTTGACGATCACCCTGGAGGCCGTCACTTGTTGACGAAACACATTGGCCGAGATGCTACTACAGCATTCTTTGGAGGCGTTTATGACCACAGTAACGCCGCACATAACGTGAGGCATACTTTAGTTGTCGCGCGATCATATCTTGACTAATATCTTGTGCAGCTCCTTGCAATGAAGCGTGTCGGCGTGCTTCACGGTGGATCTCCACATGGTCTTGAAGATAAGGTCATCCCTCCAAGCCAGCGCCTTCGCATTGCACGATATAACGAGATCGGTGGCAGCGGATACAGCTCGGCAGCCCTCTCTGACGGCGAGGGTCTCCTTGGGTGATACCCTTTCCGGCCCTAGATGCACGTCCATTCAGGATAGAACTTTAGACTTTTATTACATTCGACCCGCACCTTATTGACTCTGCATATATTCTCTTGCTCGCAATACCGGCTGTGCCATAAAAAGCATGTTGACGCTTTTCTCCCAATTTTTCTTCATACGATACGCACGGCCCGTTTTACGCCTTGTCATGTTTGAGATGGTAATACAAAAGGAGAATGTACGATATACATACTTTGGTGTTATGCCTTTATGGTTGGAACTGGTTTGTTATCGCACACCAGGCATGATTACATAGCTGATTTTGACCCGGAGGCTTGCTGACTAAGCTACACTAAATATCTTTTGCCTATCATTTTCTCACCTGTGGTCTTGCACAATTGAAATAAGTTGATGGTGCTATGCTACAATCCCAGGATCTATGTGTGTCAGATGCACAAAACAGAAGCATGATCCCTTCAAGTTTTTGTTTCTGACTCATGACACTAGGCTATGAACCCCAGTGAAAACAAGCAAGATAGAGGTCAATACATATCAAAAAGGGTAGATATAAATTGACAATTCAATATAAATCAGTGTGTATTGTCAAAAATGAGACTTTTATCGACTTTATCGATAGAGATCAAACTAGTATTATTTACAGATCAATACACATTCAATCTTGCTCCAGGTTATTTTTACACTCGCAAACAAGCCACGTCAATAGACAATGAAATAAATGAATTGAATTATAGGTATCGCTACAGGGCAAAAAATGACGGAAAAAACAGCACCCCTGCTAGTGCAGTCTGCCCAGTAACCCAGCTACACCCCTTGCTTTGCCTCGCTGCACCACCACTCATCTCTGTTGGATCCAGTGAAGAGTAGGGAACTGCATGGGATGGGATACCCACATGGATCATGGGTGTGGGTATCACTGGGGTATGGGGTTGTGATACCCACACCCTTACCCATACCCATGGGGTGGGTTTGTCATCCAAAAAACTATGATTCTGTAACTCTGAAGGTACAGCTCAAGTTCAAACCTTAAAGTCTAAACCTAAATACAAAACTACACTATAATCCACTCCCAAACATCACAGTATGCAGCTGAACTGAGGACCACAAAGTGTGTTATGAAGCTCATGGACAAGGCAAAGGCAGCCCTTGATGACCAATTAGTAAGCACATTGAAAAAGTGCAAACATGAAGGCAATAGCACAGCAAGCAACAAGCCAAAGAAGGCAAAAGCACTCCAGAAACCTGGTAAGATGTTTTTGTCAAATTTACAAAAGGCTAAGATGACGTCACTTACAGATGATGAAACAGAGGAAGACAAGGTATTGACATGGCACTCCAGTAACAACATGATCAACACTAACACCAAGCCAAACTACCAGGCTACCATTCAAACAGAGAAGGAAGATGCATTGCACCACACTGATGACACGATTACCATTAGCAGTGACAAGACTGATGGCAATGTGAGTGCTGATGAAGATAGCTCCAGTGTGGAGGAAACTGCTGAGGAAGAACTGAGTAAGCACACCTGGCCTTAAAAATGGGAGGTTAATACAATGAACCATACAGCGGATGATGAAAGATTGGAACTCACCTGATTGATGCCACCTTCTATGGCCCAACACCAACTATTGTAGATGTAAATGGATGTCACATGCATGTATTCAAGTGCTCCACCAAGAGATGTAAGGTCAATGTGTGTCAGTTCCTTGACAAGAAGAATGCTCGCTTGACTGGCAACATGCAAAAGCACATCAAGATCTGTTGGGGCGAGGAGGTACTGCAAGCAGCTGATGAAGCAAAGGATGCTACTGAGTTTCACACCAAGATTGTGGCAAGCGTCCTGCGAGATGGTTTGAATTACTGTGTCATTCAAGCAAAAGGGGAAGGGGAAAGTCACTTACTTGCACTGACAATACATATGCACATAGAGACCAAGTACGAGCAGCCTTGCACTGCAATGTAGAACAGCTAACATTGAGCCCATTCAGTCACTTTTTCCTGTGTTACATGGACACCCAAAATTGAGATTCTTCCAAGTGAGATGGGCCATCCAAATGGGCCCAGATCCAACTGTGGGCTGAAAAACATGGGTGGGCCCATGATGTTTGTAATGCCTCAGCATTGACAGCTGGGCCCATGGGTGACAACTGACAATGAAATTATCACACGGTTGGGCCAAAGGGAGGTGTTATCATTTTGGTCCTACAATAGGGCGGTAGATGAATATCAGCACATATTGAAAGGAAATTATTTCCAGAGGTCATTCTACTGGATCTGGGACTATTCAGTGATGTTATCCGAACTATTCAACACACTTCTGGTTCAGGTCATTACCCTCGGTGCAAGGTTTTACATTTCGGTCATAAAATGGGGGGGGGGGTAGATGAATATTGGCACATATTGAGAGGACACTTTTTCTGGAGGTCATTCTACTGGATCCAGGACTATTCAGTGATGTTATCTGAACTATTCAACACACTTCTGGTTTGGGTCATCACACCTGGTGTAAGGTTTGATGTTTTGGTCATACAATGGGGCTGTAGATGAATATTGGCACATATTGAAAGGAGACTATTTCCAGAGGTCATTCTACTGGACCCAGTATAATAAATTGATATCTTCCGAACTATTTCATCTGAATACAGTTTGGTTCATCATTTTTGGCAGTGGATTTTAACCATCAGACCCTTGGGCCCAGCCATGAAATTTGAGACCATCAACCTGGGCCCAGACATCAAATTTGAGACCATCATCTTTTGGCCCATCTGAGAGATTCCACCTGATTGCACTGGGCCCAGACATCAATTTATAACACCTCCCTTTGGCCCAACCATGTGATAATTTTATTGTCAGTTGTCACCCATGGGCCCAGCTGTTAATGCCGAGGCATCACAAACATCATGGGCCCACCTGTGTTTTTCAGCCCACTGTTGGATCTGGGCCTATTTGGATGGCCCATCTCACTTGGAAGAATCTCAACTTCGGGTGTCCATGTACCATGGAAAATATCTTACTGAATTATGTGTAACATCAGGGTACTTAAGGCAGAAATAGTGAAATGGGTATCCGAAAGCCTACAACCCTTTGACATTGTCAAAGATTAGGGATTTCAGTGTCTCATGAAAACAGGATGGCCAGAACATTACATACCTTCGCCTTCCACTGTCTTGCGGGATGTACAACTCATATTCGCACGAACACGACAACAGATTGCTAAAATGTTCAAGGCATGTCCATCAGAAAAATTATTAGACCACATATCACAAATACACTTACCAGGAATATGAAGGCAAGCTAAAATTTATGACAGATGGGTGGACATCCATGAACCATCGAGCATTTGTAGCTGTGTGTGTGCACCCGGAGCACAACAGTGTGCCACTGAGCATGCCATTAGACATTGTGGAGGTAGCCAAAGTGAGTCATCACTTAGACTACAATGAGCTTGATCAGTACCTCAAAAGTGATCTTAGGGACATTATGGATGTCATTGCCTGGTTGCACACACACCATTAAACTTACCCTAAGCTACAGTAGGTTTGGGTAGCTACATTACATAGTATGAAGTGCAGAAACCCATGGGTATACCCTTGGTGGGTAGTACCCTGGGTATATTAATGTCATACGCACTGAAAAACCCACACCCACCATGCGGGTGTGGGTATTCCCTGGGGTATGGGTGGGGGTATCACTACTCATACTCCAGGGTCTACCCATGCAGTTGCCTAGTGAAGAGGCTCCTGCTCAGCATCACCTTGAGCCCCACTCATAGTGACTGCTGTCAATGCTTTAGCTCATGCTTCAAATACCTGATGAGGAGCACATTAGGTTGAGTAAGGGAAAAATCACATACAGCCTTGTCTACAGCAAGTAGTTGCTCCAAGTAGTTGCTTCTAGTGCCCAGCAAATTCCTGGCAGCTTTCCATGTAGCTGCACATAGGTTTCTGTTGAGGACCATTGTAAAGAGTTGATTCTATGTGGGCTATATGAAAGGTGATACCTTAAGACTCAATGTGCGAGTGAGATGTTCATCCCAAGAGACTGCCTATAGAACTATCTCTTGATATAAAATGCAAGGGATTGTCTTGTTAAGATTGAAGGTGAGAGAAGGAAAAGATACCTCAAGTATATTCAGAGTTCTGAAGAACTGTCCGAAATGTTCGAAGTGTTGGTCCAATGTGTCTGAACGAGGTCCAACATCAAGAAACAAAGGTCTGAGGTTATGTGAAGTTTCTGAAGAGCTTCCAGTGAAACAACAAGGTTTCTGGGGATGAATACAGTGGTTACATTGAAGTATAGGACTTGTACAGTATAACTATGCAAAGTCTGTCAAAAGACTTAAGGAAATTAATAAGCAAAGTGGCAGTGGTCAGGCCAAACAATCATTCCAAATGAACAAAGAGATTGATTGCACAAAGTACTAATATCCAAAAGCGACTCTACTAACTATGACTTGTAGCAAGGGAAGTGAAGTGAGTTGTGAGTAACTAGCGAGCTAGATTATATCCTACTACATGAAAGTCTGGAATCTGCATAGGTAAAAATTGTAGTGAGATAAGCCATCCAAATGTAATAAGACTCAAGGCGAGTCGCTACACTGATAGACAAGTGAGAAATGCACCAGCAAAGTCAAATGGACAAGGACAGGACATGGTATGGAGGATCAGAAAAGCTAAACAGGCCTTGGAAATAAACAGATGACCTTCAGATGACTCAGATGAACACATGGAACTCTTGGAAAATCAGAAGAGTGTTGAAGAATGTAATATGTGATTTTGATGGAATACATGCCCAGCGCTAACCTGAGTGTTACACCATTAGAATTAATCTTGACTTAAGAATATACACATACCATGCATTGATTGTCTTCTGAATAGGCATTGCCTTGGCTTTATTTGGTACTTTCATATCTTTCAGCACTGTGGGAGTCTTTGCTTTGACCAGATGAGGCTTTGGTTTTGATTTTGCATTGACAGTGGAGGGCGCAGGAGTCATGC